TGCCCTTACCAGTGCTCTGTTTGGTTCTCCCAGAAGACTGAATGCACTCTGAGTGTAGGACTTGGTTTTATTCATATCTTTATCCTAATTTCTTTGTATTATAAATGAAGTCTGGATTCTCAGGAAATCTCCACTGTCCTACACCAGATTCCTCTGGTTTGAAGAACCACAGCATTGAAGCCTCTTAACTTCAGCTTAAAATTTGTGCCTAAGATTAGGCAAATGCTCCTGGGGCCAGCAGAGAAGGGAAGATTTGGTGGAGAGATGGCTTATATACTGCAGTGTTTGGTGTTGTAGGCTGTGGCTATGAGATCCTTTTCTGAAAACTAATTTGGGTATGAGTGGAGGTTGGGATGTTGAAGATAGCACACTTTTGCTGTGTTATAAAATCAATTTCACTCTCACAAGTTGTATATGAACAGATTCTATGTGTACAAAAGAAAACAATCTTCTTTGAATATTACCCAGTCTGAAACTACTTTATGCCAGAAATGAGATAACCTGAGATAAAGACACATTGTTATCACTTTGCATATGTGTGCATGGACATATAAAATGTATGTATTATTTAATATAAATGTGTACAATTTAAAAACTAAGTATCTTATATTGAACTTATGGTTCTACAAATTGACCTACATTTCTCCCATACTATGTTAGCATGTGTAGTACATTTCTTATTAGTATATATAGAACAACACATGCAAATTAAATTGTATTTCCTTGTTTGGCTGGACCATTGGTGACTTAAGGTATTGATAATATTTTTTTTTCACTATTAACAGCAATACTGCTGGGCATGGTGGTGCAGAACTTTAATCCCAGTGGTTTGGGAGGTGGAGGCAGGAGGATTCCAAGCTTAAAGCCAGCCTTAGCCACTTGGCAAAACTCTGAGTAACTTAATGAGACCCTGTCTCAAAATAAAATATAGAAAGGCCCTGGGGATGTGGCTCAGTGGTTAAGTACCCCTGAGTTTAATCCTAGTATTAAACAAACAAACAAATAACTAAATAAACAAAAGAGGAGGAGGAGGAGGAGGAGGAGGAGGAGGAGAAAAAAAGCAATGCTCTGCTTAACACCTCTGTTCCATAATGACTCCTTGGGCACACATAGGATTATGTTAGAAAGACACAAGAAATGAAGTATTTTGGGCTATATTTATATGTTTAGTTTTTTACCTCTGCCACTATACTGAAATTAATAAGAAGGTTAGGAATAGGAAGTCTTCTTTATCTCTATATTCTTAGAATATTGCATAGTGCTTGGGGTTTTACATATACATAAAACACATTTTGGCTAAATTAATATAGTGTGACCTTTATTATAATAAAAGGATATTTGTATTGAGATAGTATCTCCATATCTCTATAAAGAAATATGATATTAGCTTTTTCTTGATTTCTAAAGAATGAAAAAAATCAGACCTAGATATTTGAGGTAAACAATAACTACTACTTAGGGATCATTTGGTAACTTTCAAACACTATCCTAAGTACTTTGCATATGTTATCTGATATATACTCCTTAGAGCAGGTTATTGGCTATGCATTATTACCTCCAACTTACAGATGATAAAACTGAGGCTCAGAGAGGTAAATAACTTGTCAGAAGTTACATCATTAGTAAATGGTAATTTTTGGTTTCAACTGGTTCCTAAATGGCTTTGTTCTTAGGAACTGGGTATAGCAACTGAAGAGAAGGATGATGGGACACATGCCACAGAGCTTTTCAAAGGTATAGAAATTTCCCAGAGATACATAAATGCAGGTAGTTTTGTGTAGCTGGAGTAAGTCACTCTGCACACTTTGTGAATGCCCAAATGCACAGACCTTGAATGAATGGAATGAGAGAGGTTGAATCAAGTGTCCACCCCAACAAGGACCAGTAATCTAGGTGGAAAGAGGACACCCACATTTATTACCAGTTTCTATACTTGCTTTTGTCACTAACTTATTTTATTGCCTTGTTCAAACCTGGGACTCAGTCTGTGTACCTTTGAAAAGACCAGTATTATTTACTCTCAAAGGGTAATTGTGACATTTAGCCGTGTCACCATCACTGAATGTTAGATTTGGGAGGAACCTGAGAGATCAAAGCCTAACCTGATCCCTGACTAATGGGGAACACGAAGCCTAGAGAAGTTAGGCCACTCATCACAAATGCAGGTTTCCTTACTCCCAAGCCTTTTCTTTCTTTTTTTTCTTTGACTATACTGCTGCATCACAAGTTTTTGAAAAGAATGAAGGACTCTGCAGTTATAAGAGAGGATTACTGTATCTCCCCATCATTCTCTAGACTATTCAGAAACTCAGCTGGTAGCTCTGTATTTCCCTCCAGTCTTTATTTGGGAGAGTCATGTCACAAATCACTTTGTTTTAACCTGTTTCACAATAATTGCTTTTGAACCTGTATCATTTTGCTACTGGAGTAGTGAACTGCTTGAAGCAAGGACTGTGTTTCCTTTAGTTTTGCCCCCAACCCTTTTCACCCAGCCCTGTCCCAACTCGCAGTGCCTAATCTTTGAAGAGCAGTTTCAGGATCTGCTTAAGTTTTATTATGAATAATACAGTAGTCTAATCATTTCTTTCTTGGAAGTTCACTTTTCTACCATCTATAGTTCCTGATTTATATCTCCGGGTCCCATTTGTTTGGCAGCATTGGTTTTAATTCAGCAAAAGTGAGTGGTCTCCCAAGGGAAGGTGAGAAGGAGGGACATCTGGGGACCGTTAGCAACAGGATCTGTGGCTTGCAGCTTAGCACCCTGGGGCCTAATGTCAGACATTGGTCCCAGGTCTTCAGCGTCTGGCCAAAGAAGGCAGCTTCTCCCCCCTTAGGGGCCCACGGGCAGGTCTCCTTTGGGGGTCAGGATTACTGGGAATACTAATTAATTCATTAGTGGGGTTGATGGATTATCAGGCTGTCTCCTGGCAGAGGGGCCTTGGGGGGGGAACAGATTGCTGCCCATAAATCTGCCTGTTGCCTCCCTTCTCTCTGCTTCAATGGCTCCCAGCATCAGGCCTGTGGGCCAGCAACCGAGTGCTGGTCTCATTTTCCCCACTTAGCAGATGGTTCTAACAGGTTAGCTCAGAGCTTTACAAAAAGCAGCAGAGAAAGAGGAAAGGGCTGGGGATTGGCCCTCTGGCCCAAGAACCATGTGGGGGAGGAGAATGAATGCAAATGGCCTTCTTTCTCTTTTCCTAAGGCAGTCACCACCCCTTTTCCTTTGCTGACAGCACACACCCCTCCTGCCCCTTCCTGCCTTCTCAGAGTTCAACAGCCAATAGTGCAATGTCAAGGAGTTGTGACCAGAGTGACCCTGATGAAATAGGTCTCTTAAAGAAAATTCAGTGTCCTCAGTTCCCTCCAATGCTGCACGAGTATACACACACACACACACACACACACACACACACACTCTGAATGTATTTTGGAGGCTAATCCTATTATGTTCAGTCCCTTACATCTGTCAGAGGAAGCACGGAGCCCCTGCAGAATGTTCTGTCTCCACCCTCATCTTTGTCTCAATATGTTCACCTTTCTGCTAATCTGTTATTCCTTCCCTCCCCCTGAAAACTTCACAGGCAGGACACCAACACAACCAGTGCCATCAATTTTTTAATATCACTGGACATGGCTTTTAAGCTTTCGTTGAATAACTACACTATACCAGATACAAATTACCCCACAGATAACTTTTCTCTTACCCAATGGTGAATTTTGATTTGGTTTTCAGAAATCTCCTGTTCTTATCATGTGCTGCTTAATTGTTTGGAAAATGAAGTTTATTTTGCTGAGCAGATGTTTCCTGGGTAGAGACACAAAAAGATTAGTAAGAACCTAAAGATGTGCTGAAAATGAATCTATGAAAACTGAACAACAACAACAACAACAAAAACCATTAATCTTATTCTCTGTTTTTTTTTTTGTGTGTGTGTGTGTGAAGGACAAGAGGCACAGGATACCTGTATCAGAATTTTTAAAAATTGACTATTTCAAGCCTAAGATAGTCTTAACTTTATTAACAAAACTCTTTTGGGGTTTGAGGTGTAGCTCAGTGATAGACTGTGTGTCTAGGATGCACAAGACCCTGGGTTTGACTCCCGGGGACCAAACAAACAAATAAAGATTATCTTTTGCTTTAACCCTTTGTAATATTGTGCACAAAACACATTTATTTCTCTCATTCCTGTTAGACATATGTGCTAGTTATATTGGTGGAACAAGTAGTTATCAAAAAGGTGGGGGAATTTCCTTTAAGTCAATTTCACTTGCTTTTTTTTAAAAATAAATTTCAAATGAACAGAAAATTGAAAAAATAGTACAATTACTACTATTATATAGCTAAGTACACTAAATATAGTGATAACTGTATAAAATATACTGGATACAGCTCTAGATTCATCTATATTCACAAAGTAAAACAAGAGTTTTAAACGGAAATAAGTTCAGCATGTTGGAGGGTAGGAAGAGACATATATTTCTTCCTTCTACTTTTAAAACTCTTAAAAAAAAAAAAGATGCCAACCTGCGTGCGTAAGGTAGCAACCGCTGATAGGGTGTCCTCGACATATATCTTTCTCTTTTAAAATTCTTTTCAGATGTGGGCCAGCAGTTTCATTAGCCTTTAGCTCCTTCTGTTCTCAATCCCCCCTCCCCCATTCAGCTCATCCCGCTGCACTCTGGTTTCTTAGCTCTTTAATCACAAAGGTTTTCAATTCTGTTTTTTATTTATCCCTCAACTTTTGCAACTTTCCTCCGAAGTCCCCCTTCTAGAATCCTATTCCAATTTAAATAAACAGTGGCAAAGTTGTTCCTGATTAGAGGAGCCCTTTGAAATAGGCGTGTCCTTCAGCTGGGGAGGGGGAGGAGTTAGGCTGTGGGCAGCGTCCCTGTCCCTGGTCAGCTGGGAGAGCAATCAAAACTGCTGCAAGTCGAACGCTCCGGCCAGAGCACAGGAGCTGCCCAGAGGCTGTGGTCCTGAAAGCGCCTCTCCGGGAGCTAACCAAGGACAGAGGTACTGAAGAGACTGACTAAACCAGCTTCACCAAAGCATCAGCCTGAAGGTGTCCTGGAGAAGCATCAGAACTTCAGGGAAAGGGTAGAATAAGTGGCAGCCAGAGGAACCAGACCCGGAGGAATCTCTAAGAGATACTCACAGGGTTTAAGATGGATCGCTGAAAGCACCTCTTTCTCCCACGCTCTGCATGGTCAGGAGAACTTGGCTTCTCTGACTGTCCTTCAGGTCACAGCTTTGCAGAGTTCACCCCAGGATCTGCCACTGACTGAGGTGAGCCAGGGCAGGAGATGGTGGGGGAAGGGGTACTAAAGTTTCTGTGGGAAGTTCCCATAGATGTACAAGAGCTACTGGAGTGAGGTATGTCTCTTCTGGCTAAGGGAGGAGGGAGTAGGATTTAGGAAACTTGAATTTAGAAGCAGAGGGAGCAAAACATTTAGAGGTACATATAACATTTTAAATAATACTATGGAATTTTATAGCACCTGCTACCCAGAATAAAACTCCTAGATACTATAAATCTTTTTATCTTTTAATTTTTTTTGGTACAGGGGATGGAATCCAGGAGGGCTTAACCATGAGCCATATCCCCAGCCCTTTTTCTTTTTGAGACAGGGTCTCACTAAGTGGCTTAGGGCCTTGATAAATTGCTGAGTCTGGTCTCCAACTTGTGATCCTACTGTCTCAGCATTCCAAGCTGATTACCTGGAATTACAGGTGTGTGCCCCCATATCAGGCATGAATCATTTCTATAAAGCACAGATTACAGATTTCCCCTCCATTGCTATCAAACCTACACTTTGATTTTACTAATTCTGAAAAACATCCAAAAGTTTGACTGCTTTTCCAAGGTGGATAGGAAGTAGGTTAAAAGAAGTGACCCAATCTGCCTCTTGTGCTCACAGCACTTTAGAGTGCAGGGAGTAAAGTGGGAGGAAGGGAATGAAAATAAAGCAATGGGAAAAGATCTTGGCAAGCTATGGGAGTGGATTCTCACCGCTTCCTCAGTTGGTGTGCTAAAAATTCCTGGATAAGTAATGGAGGAAATTTCTTCCCCCCTGCCCTTTCAGAAGGGAAATCAGAAAAGAAAAGTTGTCCAAGTATATTTTCCCCTCTTCTGTCTTATACCCACTTATATGGTGGATATAAGTGTATTTAGAAAATACTAATAAATGTAAAATGACCCCCTCATTTTTTTTTGACAGATGACATATTGAAGAACATGGAGGGGAAATTCAAGGATTGAGTAACTTCTGTTAACAAATTTCACTATTAAGTTTTGAAGTATGCCATGGTTTTGCTGGATAAAATGTGTGTGCACATCTGCACAGTTATAAATCAATTGGGAAGTAGAGAGTATAAAAGGGTGGAAAGGAAAAGCCCAGAGGAGCCTAATATTTCCAAGCACTGTTACTTGTGAGCACCCTGGTTTGTACTCTGTCTTTTTCTTTTGGATTCTGCATCTATGGGTAAAACATTTAGTCTACCAGACCTTTAAATTTTGTATAAACTGGGCTGGATATTCCCCTTCCTATTGTATTTAGAGTCCTAGGACCAGGAGGTAAAGACTACTGTCAGCTTTTAAGGTGAAAGACACTGTCCAACCACCACAAACTCAGATGCTATCCCCTTGTATTCATTTATTCACCAGTTGAAGCTTCTCCAAAACAAAAATTAGTTCAAGTGCAGAAAGCATTCCATGGCTGCTCCGCATGGTAGTAATGCACAATGACCTTGGCCACAAGGTGGAAAATATTAGGTGTCACAATCCTTGATTATGAGCAAACAATTTGCTGGAAAGGGTTAAAAATGAAAAAAAATTGGGAGAACAGATTAAATGTGAAACTTCATTGCAGGATCCCAAAGAAAGAGAAAAGTTTGTATATATTGTGTAGGTACATAAGGAAATCCAAATGCCAAGATCAAAGATTAAAATGGACTTTATACGATCAGAATGCAATGGCTGTAATTCCAGCTACTGGTGAGGCTGAAGCAGGATTTTAAGTTTGAGGACAGCTTGGGCAACTTAGCAAGACTTTGTCTCAAAAATAAATAAAAAAGCACTGGGGTTGGGATGTAACTCAGCAGTAGAGCACTTGCCTAGCATGTGAGGCCCTGGGTTCAACTCCCTATACTACCAAAAAAAAAAAAAAAAAAAAAAAAGGAATATGTTTGCATGTGTTGGGTGGAGGGGCTAGTTGCTGGTTCTGCTCCCAGCATGAATATTCATTGGTTTTTGTCATATTGTAGTCGGCTTCCTGTATATTTTGAGTGCTATTTTTTTTTTTTGCCTAGGAATTGAGAAAGCCTTAAAATGATTTATCAGGATACATTCTGAGATAGTGCTAGAGACTTTCCTGTACATACAGGTTTTGTAGAACAATTGCCAACTTGAACATTTGCAAAGCAACTTCACAAAATAAAACTTCTTAATCAGGTAGGAAAGGTAAACATATTATTTACATTTTCCCTTCAGGATAAAGGAATTATAATACTTTTCTTGTGCCCATTTAATAATTGAGTGAAAGGAGAGGGTCTTAGTGTTCACAATTTTTCTCAGTATATACCGGAGGTGGTTCATTAATAAGCTAAAAGTGACATTAGATTTAGGTGACTATTCTGAAGAGAACCCACTTGGTTCCTTTCATCAAAACTCAGAACTCTGCCACATTTTCAACACTCAGATTTGGAACTGGGTGTTTGTCTTTTTCCAGTCTTTTGATGCCTTCAAAATATCAATGTGGCAATAGAGGAAGTTTTTCTTTACTTTTGAAAAGTTTTAGCTGTTACTTCTATCTGTGAGAAACTTCATCTTCTCCCTAGAGCTCTGCTATTTGGTATTTGTGGAAGAATCATAGTCCCCATATTCATAACCAAAGGTAACAATGTCTAAGTTTCTAGGGTTATCTGTAGTCAACCAGAAGCTTCATGGACCTAGAAGTTTACATGACTAAGAGGAATTGTCCAGCCAAATGTTTCATCTCTGTTATAAAACAGAATGAAAGTAAGGAAGCTGGCCTTCCTGAATGCAATGGGGGAGGTCTAATCGATCCTGGAGGTGGCTGATAGAGTTTAGAGTTTTCACAGAAAACTCAGAATATGATATTTAATTTCATTAGGTGGTGGGAAGAGTGGGGATATCAGGACTTTTTTTTTTTAATGAGTGTTGAAATGGAGCCATTGGCTTTTGTTGTCATGAAATCAACATTAAGCACATATTATAACTATTTTTTTTGTCCAAGTGGCCAGGAAAATCATGGTGAAGTTAAGGAATAATAGTACTACATGGGATTTATGTTGTCTAGCACTATTCAAAGTGCTTTAAATATATTAACTCATTTTATGCCATGAGTCAGAACTATTATTATTCTTATTTTAAAGAAGATGAGACTGAAGCAGATAAAATTCATAAAATTTGCCTAAGGTCACATATCTAGTTAGTTGTACAGCTGAAATTTGAACCCAGAAAATCTGGCTGCAGAGTTTGTGCTGTCTAGTCCCATTGAGAAACTGTCAGATGAACTTCTGTGCCAATCAGATGAGGTAATATTCAGGTAATGAGATGCATTAGTTAATGTAGTCTATTTTCTTTACTCATTTGTGGAGAAACAATTTTTATTTTTAATAAGCAAATGTATGGAAGTGTATAAGATTTTTAAAAACCCAAGAATAAATGCAAAATAAATATATTGATAATGATAATAAATTATAACATTTAAAATGACAAGCTACTTTCTTATATTTTTTCTCTTTCTTTTTTTTTTTTCAGTACTGGGGATTGAACCCAGGGCTCTGTATCAGTGAGCTAACCCCAGCCATTTTTATTTTATATTTTGAGACAGAGTATCACTAAGTTGCTTAGGACCTCACTAAACTGCTGAGAGGCTGGCCTTGAACTTATGATCTTCCTTTCTCAGCCTGCCAAATCTTGGGGATTATAGGTAGGCACCACTGTGCAAGGTTATTTTTATTAAAAAAAATATAAAATACATCTTATCACTATTTTTTCAAAGAGGAAATAGAAGAACTTAGAGCTTCATGTAATGTATTTGAGATAACCATGAGGAATTAGAAGAATTAAGACTAGGATTCATATCTGTATTATTTCAGCTTCCATGCTTTTGAAACCACACTATAATGGATTCTCTCCAAACTAATGGACCAGTACTGATGGGTACCAAGGAACTTAAATTAGAACCCAGCTCTGTTCTTCCCAGAGTTAGTCGAAAATTTGTTGCCCTTTTTATTAGTTTGGACAAAGCCACTTGCTTCTTTTCCTACATAACTACCAACAACCTAATTTTAAAGCAATTCTTTGACTCTTACAGAAACCATTAAACATGTTAAAGGCTAAGGGTGGTCTATTCTATTCTCTTAATCCCAGTTCTTGATGGGGGTGATTATTGACAGATCTCAGAAAGTCCACGGGTGCAGAGATGGGGATGGTGAAGAATGGCAAATACCCAAGCTAAAGTGGTATTCAGGGGCGAGTAAGGAGACTCTCCTGTCTGTTACCTTCCTTCTCTCTTCTCCATGCATATAAGTATGGCCAGTGCAATGATGATAATGCAGATGAGATAAAGAGGAGGAGGAGGGAATGGAAGAGAAGAAGAGAGAACACGTAGATGAAAGTAATAAAGAACACATTTGGAAGAGGAAGGAATCCTGGGATATGAGAGTTAAAATTATGCCTTGGAGAACACCTAAGGCAGCCTCCCTTTGGATCATGGTCACTCCTGTTGAGTTAGTTCCACCCATCTCCATCTGCTAAGTTGAAGTGAATTTCTTCCTGTAGCTGTAAGGGAAGAAGAAAAAAGAAAAAAATATAGAGCACAGGATTTGAAATCAGAGCTGATTTCCTGTCTTGCTCCTCTGTCTCTATGTCCTTACATTGCCATCACTAAGATGACCTACAGTGACTCTGACTATAAAGTGAGCTTGACGATCCCTCTCTCCCTCCAAAGTTTGCTCTAAGAAACATACAAATTAATAGATGCAAAAGTGCTCTGTAAACTTTAAAATATTGTACAAATATTATCATAGTTAAATGGCAGGGGGAGCATTAGGTTTCCCAAGCCCACTTCACCCTTTTTGGCCTCAGAGTGCACCTGCCCTTGGAAGATCTGTGTTACTTTAACAGAAAGTTAATTAGGTCCTTCACCCTCCCTCTGGATATCTGCCCGAGTTAGAAGTGCAGCTCAGCACACAAGCTCCATCATCCATATTAAAAGTGGGATTTTCTGACTTGGCCTGAGCAGCCAGTTGACCAATAGGTTCCAATGTGTGTTTTCAATAAAGCTGCTTACCCAGGAAGCCTTATTAAGTGAGTAAGTCAAGCTGACATGATTTCCGTGCTGATTAACATGAAACTTAGGCTGTTTTCGCAATGCAGTAACATTAATTATTTATAGGAGGTAAATGAGGTTACAAGGAAAACAAGCTCCAATTACCAGAAACAAATCAAATCATATATTTATATTTTTAAAAGCTATGTACTAATCCCAGCATTCATTGATTTGAGGCTCAAGCTTCAAGGATCAAAAAACATTTATCGTGTTCTCCTCTTTCTCATAATCAAAGGTGATGGAGGGTTTAATGTTTCAAAGACTAGCTGGTAAACCGGGATGCCCCAATGTAGCTTATCAGATCCTTTTATTTGGTAAACTATATGCCTACCAATTGCTCAACACATTTCAAAACAATTCAAACTCTTCCAGAACTGAATGCAAAATACTTACTAACCACCAGTCTGTTCTGTTTTTCAAATAGCAAATTTTGCATAGAAAATTCTGATTAAACAGTATCCATCAGGCAAGTGAATTAAAGTAGTCAGGCTCTTTCTGTGTTTATCTGAAATAGTCCTCTCATGTTCTCCGTCACTCTATTCTCTTTAGTTTAGTATTTGTTTTCGATTTTTTCACTTTAATAAAGTGTTTTTATAATAGTTGCACTGAAATGTCTTATATGGGTTTGGTAGATCACCAGCTTATACTTCTAGGTTGCCATGGTCTTGTCTGATGGTGTGAGTTTTAAGTGCAATGAAAAGAGTTCTCACTTCAACATATGGGCAAAGTTGATGGATGAACAGTGATAACCGTCCTTTGTTTCCATGATCCTTTCAAGACATCATGTCACTAACACCTCTAACACTAGACAGAACACAAGGTGCTTATTAAGAAACAGAATGCTCTTCTGGTAGTGGTGAGATAAATGTTTGATGGTCACATGGCACACCAGCCAGTTGTGACATGACCATTTCCTAGGAGATGCCTAAAGCCACCAGTTGGCCGTGCCATGGGATATCACAAAGTCCATGAAACACCTCTAAACAGAGATTGTCAGTCCTTTCTAAAATACATGCAAAGTAGTCTGAGGATCTTGCTGCAGTTTTTGTTTACCTTATGATATAAACATATGACAGTTTATTTAACTTTTTAATATGCATTTTATTTTATAACAATAATTTTATATACATAGCATATAATTATTTTAGCCCTATATTTCATTTTCAGAAATTTCTCTGTTTGGATGATTGTATGCCCTTTTCCCTTTGTGTTATGAATTTTGGGAAGAAAGAAAACCGTATGTTTGAACTTGTATACCAGTTATTTTTGTGTAAAATATCCATGAGATAGAGAAACTGAAAATAGGCATGAACATTTCAATGTTAAGGTTCATTTTCTTTAAATATTGTTGGTTTTCTTATAATATGGTATAACTAGGTAAGTGTTCTTAGCATTTCTTTGAGTGTGGATTATTATTCATTTAAAATGGAGGACTTAGACATGATAATTATGAATTGAATCCCAAAGCAAATTCCGGACTCTATGCCCAAAAGATAATAAGAACGTTTAGTTTAGAATCAAATCAGGTATTCACAGGAATTAACTTTCTCTGTCTCCATTTTCTAGAATCTGGAAATGGCAAAAACTTTTGTGAAATCCAAGGAGATGGGGGAGCTGGTCAACACACCATCCTGGATGGACAAAGGTCTCTGCTCTCAAAATGAGATGAAGGAGGAGGAGAGAAGATCAGGTACTTATGGGGTGCTTGGCAGCTTAACTGAAGAGCATGACAGTATTGAAGAAGAGGAGGAGGAAGAAGATGGGGAGAAACCTAAGAGAAGAGGTCCCAAGAAAAAGAAGATGACCAAAGCTCGCCTTGAGAGATTCAGGGCTCGAAGGGTCAAGGCCAATGCTAGAGAACGAACCCGAATGCATGGTCTGAACGATGCTCTGGATAACCTCAGAAGAGTCATGCCATGCTACTCTAAAACCCAAAAGCTTTCCAAGATAGAGACTCTTAGACTGGCCAGGAACTATATTTGGGCTTTGTCTGAAGTCTTAGAGACTGGCCAGACACCTGAAGGAAAGGGCTTTGTGGAGATGCTTTGTAAAGGACTCTCTCAGCCCACAAGCAACCTGGTGGCTGGATGCCTTCAACTGGGCCCTCAGTCGGTCCTCCTGGAGAAGCATGAGGAGAAATCTCCTATTTGTGACTCTACCATCTCTGTCCATAATTTTAACTACCAGTCTCCGGGGCTCCCCAGCCCTCCTTACGGCCATATGGAAACACATCTTCTTCATCTCAAGCCTCAAGTATTTAAGAGTTTGGGAGAATCATCCTTTGGGAGCCATCCACCTGACTGCAGTACACCTCCTTACGAGGGCCCACTCACTCCACCCCTGAGCATCAGTGGGAACTTCTCCTTGAAGCAAGATGGCTCTCCTGACCTGGAAAAATCCTACAGCTTCATGTCACATTACCCCTCTGCCAACCTCAGCTCAGGGCATGTGCATTCAGCTCCCTTTCAGGCTGGTACTTCTCGCTATGACATTCCCATAGACATGTCCTATGATTCCTACCCCCACCACAGTATTGGGACCCAACTCAATACAATATTCACTGATTAGGGAAGTAAGACCAGCATTTCAGAGAATGATGTGGAGATATTGCCCATGATTCAAGTGGTTGAGCTAAAGATTCAAAGACTTTAAAGAAACCCTATGGATATACATCAAACACAATAGGGCTAGGTCATTTAGGGTCTCCTACATCTGTCCCCCTCTTTGCTCATCTGCTTTTCACATTTTATTGATTCCTTTATTTAAGGTCTTCAAGTGAATTTTTTGGTGACTTACAACAATGTAAGAGGCTGAACTGAGTGAGGACTTAGGCCCTAGGATCACGGTGCCAAGAACTCATTGAATAACCTATGCTAATTAATTTTCCATTTCTGGTGTTTGTTTATTTACTAATAATATGAAGCAATTGTTCTAAGTCCAGATGATTTTAATGACTTTCACAGTTCTGGAATTATATAACTTCAGTGATCACTCTCAGAAATTTCTTAAAACTGAAAAAAGAAAAATAAAGCAATAATAGGAAATGGATAGTATATATGGGATGATCAAATGGAGTTGCCAAAGGGACCCCAAGGTGCATATCTGTTGACTCACAGAATGCAGTTCGTTTGAACTTGATGACACAACTTTGTATCTATCTAAAAATAGCTTCCAGAGGCTAACATTCTAACTTGGTTGTAACTGTGAACAACAAAGTATGTTTTTGAAGAGATTAGTTCCATTTCTCATTGGACTGAAAGTTAAAAATATCTTCCTTAGTGATTTGAGAACCATAATAGAGGCCTCATGCTAACTTCATTCTTGATAATATTTCAAAAGCACTTTTTCAGTACTAGAGGTAGAGCAAGAGATTCTTTGAAATCTCAGACTTCTATGACCAACAGAACATAGAGAAGTCACCTAGATCATGCATGACCAGGGACTTGAAATTCTGACCTTGTTCAGGTTCTGCTATTGGAATCAGCACACAACACATGTTGTAGAGCAATAAAATAACTCTTGGCTACACCAACTACCATCGTTCAGAGACTCTCTGTAGCTCATACTTTCCCATAAGAAAACCACTAAATCTTTCCCTAGGAAGATGAATTTCATTTGGTTAAAGTAAATATGATTAGAAACACTGACCTCTATCCACACTAATACATTTTTCAGAAGCACAAACACTATTCAATTTATTGACCAACTTTGATTTTTTTCCAATATAAATGCAATTGCTTCTCTCCCTCTCACTAATTGTTACCCTTTCCTTACTTCTAAGATATAATATGCTGTTATGTATTGCACACAACATTTCAAGTGACAAGACATATGAATTCAGAAGCGAAATCTAAGGTCAGTGAATGCTTTTATCAGTCTGCAGCTTCATCACAGGGTTAGTCCAATCAGCAGGATGTGTATGTCTATTTATGTAAATTCTTTTTCCTTTATATTAACACTAACTTTGTCAAGTTTTACCTTATCAGAGAAATGAGATCTGAGAAATTTTACTATCCTGTTGAATCTGCTAGGACAATTATTTAGAATCAAACCAAGAGTATAAATGGCTTATTTGATATTGGATCAAGTTTTGCTCCTGCCACAGACGATAAGTTTAATGATGCAGGGTTCACTGATAGGGGCTGATGTATAAAATCGATATGACAGATTAGTACGTCATTATCTACAGCTCAACCGCTCCATAACATCTGCCAAACTTTACGTATATCTTATCTTTTTATCTTTCTTATTTATTCTCTATGGGTTATTTCATTTCCATTTATCTTGCAGCACTTACTCTGCTTTATTTTGCACCCTTGGTTTGTAAATCCATTTGAAAAGTAGCTTTGTAGAGAGATCTACTAGCCACCAAAGCGGCCCCCCTCATCATGATCTGTCCTAGTGGGAATAGGCAAGTAAAGTGATTTCTAAAGCAACCCTATGTGCTTTCCAAGTATATCTGGTACTTACCTTTGTGAGGGGGTGTAAGAGGATCTATCCTTAAAGTTAGCATTTTTTTGGCATTTATGTTTGTAGATAATGAACGTTGTCTGAGTTATTTATTAGAAATTATTTATTTAATTTATTTCTCCCTTCCTTTTATGCAAATTCTTTGGGCCCCATAGATGTGCTTGCAAACCCTCCCTGAGACTTCATTTGGACAGAAACTCATCAGTTCTGAGTTTTGGAGTAAGGGGAAAGGAGGAAATTAGTTCATAATTATTTTATTAAAAACTAGCAATAATTTGAATGGCTTTGCAAGTTATGGTTTTTAGATTTTTTTCCCCCTTCAGTGTAAGATGGGCCAGAGTTCTTTTCTGGGAACCTATTGTTTATTCCTTTGGAGAGTATAGTCCTCATGAACAAGGCCTCCTGGGGACTGTGCAGAGGGATTAAAGTTTAGAAATGCAGTAAGCTTGGAAAGAACCTATTCTCTAACTCAGTCTTGTCTCATTATTCTGGGGATTCTTTTTTGGATAAAGCAAAGCAATTGTTTAAAACTTTTGTTTTTTTAAAAAATGACTGTTTTTTTTCTCCCTTTCTTCTAGCAGAAATAAAGCTGTGAGTCTTATTAGACATTGTGTTGTGTTGTTTGTCTTAAGAACTTTCTTCATTCTCCTCTGTTCATTTTCTTGGGCTTTTTGTTTTGTAAGAAGCAAGCAGAATGCAGGCTACTTTGGTGGATCCACACATCCCATATTTCAGTTATCTTGCCAAAGATTTGAAAGTCCTAAATTAAGAGGCTAGAAGTCTGGAAGCACTAGTCCCTGCTGCTCATACAATAAAATATACAGTCTGTGTTTGAGAAAAAAAGAATCTTCCAGTTTACAGAAATCTTTAGGGCTATTAGTAGTCTAAGCTATTGGTAGTCTAGAGTTGGATCATGGGAAGATGGACTATTATCTACAACTTAAGTGAGCCCATCAACTTTCCAAAAAATTATGAAGTAGGATTTTTTGGCATTTGCCTTTTAATATCTCTTGATTTTTTTTCTTTCAGTTTTTTTCTAGCTAAACTGTTTCAGGGTCAATTCTTACATGCATATAATGCTGATTACAAAGAAATAATAATTATGATAAAAGTATAAATAAAGTTGGTTAACAAAAGAAGGAACTTTGCTTAAAATACTTAAGAAACAAAAAATATAGAATGAAAGTCAATTTTCCCCTCTCATTTTTTACCTGCTAGATCTTGTTCCTCAAGTAGAAACTACTTTAAAAACATTTATTAGTTAATAGAGATCTTTTATGTACATACAAACAAATATTAGGTATATTAGACACAAATAATAAGGTATATTATCCTGTTCTTTTTTCTACAAGTGATAATAGAATAATACTGTTCTGCATATTGCTTTATAAAATTTCAAGCACACATCTTAGGGTATTTTCATATTTAATAAATTTTTTTTTGTCATAATTGGCCAGTGTTCCACATTAAAATGGTGTAATTCATGAAGTTAAATTGGCATAATTTAGATTTTTCTAATCTTTTGCAATACTGAATGAGTGATTTGTATATATGTCATTTTCCTCTCAAGAGAGTCTTTACTTTACAAAAAATATTCCAAAGAAGCAAAGGATAAACTGACAGATAAATGCAATTCCATCTCTGAGTTTCTGGATGCTTACCTCATGATGTCACTTTTCTAAATGATGTATTTGTATGAATTCAGTCAATCCTAAAGTACAATTACAATTACAATCCTTAGAAGGTAGTCACCATTATTATTCCCATTCTACAGAATAGGAAGCTAAGGCAGAGTGACTTTTTCAAATTGTTGTGCTAGTAAATAAGCCAGAATTTGAACTAGTTGGCCCCAAAATTTGAAGTGTTTCCAGTGCTTGTTTGCTTGGTAGGTACAGAGAATGTCATATTTGCCCAATGTTAGAGCTGGTGAAAGTGGAGTAGCTGTTTGGCACCCCTAAACTTATCCTCTACATATGGTACCCTGCTGCATCTCTGATCCAGTCTGATTCATTCCCAGGCCCTACATACAGTGGAACCTGAGAGAAGATTTCCCTGTGACAAGCTTAACTTCCTATTGGCTTTTGCCTATGTAGATGATGTAGATGTAGGCAGAGCCCAGAACAGTGCCTTACAGCTTGAAAGTGCTCTTCTTTCAGAGGTTTAAATACATTTCATGTTTTCACTTTACTTATCTTTAGAGTTCAATAAAAATGTTTTAATAGGAATTACAAATTGAAAATCAAAGAATATTTTATTCACACAAAAACATCCTATTTTTGGATTAAGTTTACTATTTTGATATTTATATAACTTTGTAGAATAGTTTGGTGCAGTACTTACAGCATCAGGTTAAGAATCAAATAACTAACATTTCCTCACTACAACTTGATGGTTGAATGATCTTTGTTCAATTGATTAGCCCTGGAAAACATCAGTTTCCTCAAATATAAAATAACATCAATAGAAATGCCTTCTTTATAGGATTATGATGATGAATTAATTAAGATAATACATCTGAAGCACTAAGAAAATATTTAATAAGTTATAGTTACTGTCATCCATGTTGCTATTCATTTTTCCTTTTATTCTATTAACTTTTCTTTTTGCCTTCTACAGATTGCTGGGGGAGTGCTGATGGCAACTGCTGTAGTCTTAGGATGTCCATAGAGTTCTTTTATTCTGGTACCAGGGATTGAACCCAGGGGTGTTTAACTATTAAGCAACATCCCCACCCCTTTTTGGTATTTTATTTAGAGATAGGGTCTCACTGAGTTGCTTAGGCCTTGCTAAGTTGCTTCAGCCTCCAGAGCTGCTGGGATCACAAGCATGCGTGACCCGGCCTGACTGAATCCATAGAGTTCTTTAGTTAAAGAGGTTGAGTCAGACAGAACTTGGATTTGAAGCTAACTGGCTCTGTAGTCCTGGGCAGTTTATTTAACATCCCTGTCTCAATTTCCTTCATTATAAAAAGAGTACAATACTACCAAGGCCACAGAATTATATGAGAATTAAAAATGATGATGCCAACAAAGTGTTTCAATCAGGTTCTGGTAGAAGGGAGGCACCTCACTGTAATTATGATTATTATTGCTGTTGCT